ACATATTTCAAGAGATTCTTAATTGAGATGTAATAGTCGTCGTCCACGAAGAGTATGAACTGAGCGCCGGAACAGTAGGCGACCGACCATTTGATGGCAACCATCGTTTTGATCGTATTGTTATAATAGGAGTCAACAAAGTCTGCCTGAACTATGTCTTTGTGGACATTCATCTCGTCGTCGATCACGTCCTGACAGTCCTTCACATCACTTCTGTCGACACAATTGCCTAAAATGAAGATCCGTTTGATTATCACATCAGAGAAGCGGCCCTCAAATCCCCAACTCTTGCGAATGGCGTCTCTTGAGTGCCGGTTCTGGAGAGCGCTCTTCACCACAATCAACAAAGTCACGTCTTCTCCTCGACGTCTGCTATTCACGTCACTATCACTTGAGTTACCGCTGAAGGCATCCATCGACGAGCACTTCCGCTCATTCTTGACAATAAACCGATAATTATATTCGTTAATTGGTTTGGGAAGCGATTGCAAGAGCTCTGGATTGAGATCCAAGTCGTGGTGAAAATGTCTGGCTTTAAGCACTTCCACGACATCGCGAAACGGATCCAAATCTAAGGGGTATTTGAATTGCGAGCCGAAGTCCAACTCAAAGGGATGGATAAATAGGCCGAAAACGTGGGCCAAAACCAGACACACGAAGAATACGGCGAACACTATGTATCGACTTCTTCGGCTTCGGAACCATTTCCGAGATCTCATATCCATTCAAATGGCAATCAATTAATCGCTTTCTTCGGCACTAATTCACGATTCAATCCATTATTTTTGGCATTTTTCACACCAAACGAGAAATTAATGTTTTTTTGCCATAAAATGTAATTTCAATGCAATTTTGCACACATTTTGCGGCAGAGATTTCAATGAGATTTCAATGAGATTCACAAAACATGAATTAAACCTAAACTACAATTAAAACTAATTTCTAATAAGTTTTGTATTTGTTTTTCACAAATCAATAGATTTAAAGTGAGGTTTGGTTTGTGTTTCCCAATCACGACATCAGCTGTTGTTCACAAAGTGTTCACAAATAACGCAATGAGTAATGCATTCAATGATTGGTGTTTTGAAAGCATTTTTGTGGCAAACGTTTGATTGTTATCTCAAACACTGAATCAACACTTCGGCTGACACTTTGCCCAACAGCTGATCCCATACTAACCACCGCTTGTGTCTCACGGATATAGACGTGTTGTCCGCCGACAATGTCGTCAATACATCGCTTACCACCAGAAGAGGTGGCGTCCAAAGTGTTGGCCAACAATCAGCCAATCGGTGATGTGATCGCCGCCGACGACAACGAAATCAATGGCAAAGCGTTTGGCAAATGCTTTGAGACGATCCACATCTTCGCGGACGAGTCAGTGGTGATCGCGTCGGACAGTCTTCATGGCATACATCAGAACGGATTCGTCACGAAATACGATCGCATCGAAGACGTGCCGCAAATGCCTGTCCTATCGCTGGCGCCCGACTTCGGCGGTATCTGTAATCTGTTTGCCTTAAGAGATAAGCGGCTGATCTGTGGCTTCGATTCCGGACACATCTCTGTGTTGAACGAAGAGTTGGAGGAACAGATGGCAGTGATCTATCACGACAACCAAATCAATGGCCTCCACGTGAACCGATTGGAGACAAAGAGTGTCAGCTGTGGTTACGATATGACACTTCTTGTGCTCGATTTGGAGACATTCATGCCATACAAGTGCTATAATTACGCGCATTCGGACATCATTTGGGACATCGAGTTCAGCCCACAAGACGACAGTCTCGTCCTGTCGTGCGGTCGCGACAAAGACGTCCTGTTGTGGGACTTAACCAAAGCGAAGCCGGCATCGCGTGTGGCGACTCTGACGGCCGACCCGACGGCCCTGTGCTGGTCCTCCAAAGATATTTCCACCGTTTATATCGGCACCGATTGCGGTCAAGTGAAGCAGTTTGATGTGCGACAGCCCGGAAAGGAGGTCATGGCCTTCACTCCCATTCCCGCCGCCAATGAGTCCCGAGTTCACAGAATTAAGAATATATTTGGCGGCAATTCGCTGGCCATCTGTTGTGATGATAATGTGCTGCGAGTGTTGGACTCCGAAGACTTGATATGTGTGTACGACAAGAGTTTGCACACCGATTGGGTCCGCGATGTGACTCAACACAACAAATCAATCTATTCTGTGGGAAAGGATTCACGACTTGTCCACCACTCAGAACTCGATTCTGTAGTCTAACTGTTAATTACTTTAATTTGATATATATTTAAATATTGCGTCAATTAATGAACGAATGAAAGGTTTTGTCTAATACTCAATGAATACGAGTACTAAAACGTGATATAATACCCGAAACTTTAGTTTAGTAGAGTTTACGTTAATTTTCTTTCTTCTTAATTATATTTAAATTAATCAATGGTTAATACAATTGCTGTAAAGATCAACATTTTATTCATTTATTCAACGAATTTGTTTTTATCACAATTAAAAGAAAAGTTTTGTAATAAGTTTTGTTTTTTGTAATCAATATAAGAAATCTAAAAATAAATGTTTAAATAAAATGATGGATAAAACTAAACATTTATTTTGATATTGAAATTGATATTAAAATTTGTTTTTATATTCAAACTTTAATAAAATAAATAATTTAATAATAATAACGTTAATTGAATATTCATTATAACGAGTGATAAATATATCAATAAGAAAATGATGATAAGAATAGGGTATTTAAATTCAAATGTGAATAAAATATATTTATTTATATATTCAGTGTTTGATATTTAGTTGATTTAAAAAAATAAATATGAATTACAATTAATATCTTGAGACTAAAACATTAAGAATGTATTAAAAACATGATTTATTAAAATAATAGGTCCGAAGCGGTCGACGATGTAGACCAAGAGCTGGTCTCGTCAGGAGTGGCGGGTTTTATTAGATCAGTGGTCGTCGAGGTGTCCGTCGAGTGGTTATTGTCGTCGTTTGCGGTCATATCAGACGTCGAGTTTGTTTTGTGAGCTCTGGATGAGACTCCCAACTCAAATGGTGTCTCAATTACTGTGGGCTTATATGACCCCAAACTACCTGTTAAAGTGAATATCACACACAATAAACATTTGTTTTTTAAATACATTTACAAAACAAAACCAACAATTAATTTGAAGATTAAAATTCTAATGTAATTTGTAATTAAAGTGAAAAACTCTCACAAAATCTCATGCATTGTTATAAAAGTATTGAATATGTAATGACAGAGAATATGAAACAAATGGTTACAAATAATGGCATTAATGGTATGCATACATACCCTGTGAACCTCCGAGCGCTAAATTGGTTTTGAATGCCGTTAAACTCGTATTTGCATTATTAGACTCCGATGTTATCACAGAATTGTTTGTTTCACTTTTGTTTTCGCCGTTTAAGTCGTCGCCAGACGTCGTCGAGAGACCCATCTCTTGCATTAGAGACGCTTCCGATGGGTATTCAAAAGTCTTTGTCAACGAATCGTTGAACTGTAGTGTCAACTGAAATGTCAACCAAATAAAAGAAAAAACATCACATTTTTGTCTATAAGACGATTATTCCCATCAGAAGAGGCAATCTTTTGAAGTCATTTTTCTGATTATGTTTTCGTCGAAAAACTTGTTTTAATTTTTTGTGATTATTTCAATGATCTGAACATTATTTAGACAAAACGTATACACAATACAAATTCATTGCAATTCCCAACAAACAATTTTTAAACTGATTTATTGTATAATGTATTTGATCCCCAAAAAAGTGAATTTTAAAACAATATTTTCCTTTTATGGGACAGTGAACTGAACCGACAATTATTGTTTCGCTATGAATAATGGTTCTGTTTTTTGTAGATTAGGGCACAAAAAAGTCATTTGAATTAGTTTTGCGTTTCGTAATTAAAATATTGTTTAAAAACTGATTGTTTAACCATTTGTTACATAAGTTATAATATATTCCTATAAACCATATATGATTGCCGTTTGTTATAAACTGAATGCCAGAACCGGAACAGTCATTGCATACAAAATCATTTCAATAATGATATGATTTTTCTAAACTAATCATTTATTCTAATCATACAATTCAAGTGCCTTTTCTGTTGATTTAAATTTAAAAGTCATTTGAATTAGTTTTGCGTTTCGTAATTAAAATATTGTTTAAAAACTGATTGTTTAACCATTTGTTACATAAGTTATAATATATTCCTATAAACCATATATGATTGCCGTTTGTTATAAAGTTTATAATATAAACTGAATGCCAGAACCGGAACAGTCATTGCATACAAAATCATTTCAATAATGATATGATTTTTCTAAACTAATCATTTATTCTAATCATACAATTCAAGTGCCTTTTCTGTTGATTTAAATTTTAAAATATTGTATCAAATAAATACATCATAAATATATGCATAAATGTATTTTTTGCGATAATTTACTCAAAATGTATTTATGATGTTATAAATCGTGAGATGACTGTCGAGTTTTGTTTAATCAAATATATAAAACTCGAAATACAGTATAATTTAAATTTAATCTCAATTTATTTCTCTGTGAACTTCTATTTATGATATATTCTGTTTGTATCGCAAAATAGCAAATGAAAAACATTTCAAAAATATTTATATGAATATCACATTTGAATTAATGCATAGATAACAAGAGTATACTCTGTATTCATATTTATATATAGATTTCAATTTAATTAAATATGAAACACATTTTGATAACGAAATAAAATTCTTTGAACGCCAACTGAATGTTAAATGAAAAAAACAATTATCCAAACAGTTATGACTCGTTATTATGCGATAAAAATCAATTGAATTGTCGAATAATTGATAGATTAGATTATTTTTAATTTAATTTCCCCTATATTTTAATTGACAGTTAAATACTTGAATAATTGAAGTCTCTCTCTCTCTCTCTCTCTCTCTCTCTCTCTCTCTCTNCATTGTTAATAGTTTTAGGGTTTCGCACTTTTTTGTTGCTTTTTCTTATCCAAAGTAATAAATTTAAATAATTGTCAAAAAGGAGAGCTATTTATGAATTACCAGTATTTATATTTATGAGGAAATATTAAATATAAACTCAATTCATATAAACAATAAAAATAGTTTACTCTTAAAAGTGGTTCATTTTTTTTATAAATTAATTCAATTAAAATGATATATCTTTACAAAGCAAAATCTACAATATTATAGTATTTATAAGTTTTCTATAATAAATTATAAAACAATTATTAATATATTAAGAATTGAATTGAAAGAGTGAGCGGAAAAATAAGTTCAAAAATTCAAAATTTATTACTACTATAACTAATTGTAATGGATTACAGACTCTAATCGTTAAACTATTAACTGATTTGCTTAAAAATTCATTAATATTTCAAACGCCTCACTAATTGTATTAAATATTCAAAATAACAATATTTCTAATTATTTTCAAACGATAATATTATAATGATTTCAAAATTGGTATCGTTTTAAAAATGTTTCGTAAAACACAGCAAACGCTTCACTGATTTCTAAAAATGAGTTTTTAATAAGAAATAGGATTCAAAACGAAAGTGTGTTTCTCTTCCCGATTCATAAACTGGTAATTCATAAATAGCTCTCCTTTTTTGACAATTATTTAAATTTATTACTTTGGATAAGAAAAAGCAACAAAAAAGTGCGAAACCCTAAAACTATTAACAATGTTTAGCAAAAGTATTAATATATTTGGCAAATATTTCGCAAGAAAAACAGAGACAACACAAAAGACATCGACAGAAGAAAGCCAATGCCCTATCCATAGCCTCATTCATTCATTCAGTTTCTTAAGCAATAATAGATTATATTCTCAATTGAATCAAAAGAGTATTTAACACTGATATGCATGAGTGGCCTATTTTGGAGTCACATCCAGATAGAGAGGGTATAATATATTATGTGTTTTTGTCAGATCTTAACTAATAGTCTCTTTAAACAATGTTTGCAAACACCGAGTGCTCCACAACTCGGACAACAAAAGCAAATCCAGTAATAAAACCTAATGCCTAACAAAAAACGATCGTAAAAACGTAAGTATTATATGAATGAATGCTAATTGAATGTATGAATGAATCACATCCTATGCCTTAACCTATTTGTATAATACCATTATTAAGATCTCAGAACACAATCAAAACGAGTTGTTATATCAATTGTTAACATATTTTCTCAAATAATGGCTCACTTTTGGTCTTTAAAAGATAAAATATAAACGGTTTTCATTTGGCTTTTCTAATGGTTTACTAGTTTAGCGAAAAATCAAAACCAAAATACATATCTATATAACATGTATTGAACTTAACATTCTTAACATTGACCTAAATATGCAATTTATAGAAATTTATTTTCAAACTAAATACTATTTTAGAGCTTAAAAACTAAAGCAAACATTACTTTAGATGCGATACAAGAATAAACGTGTCTATTATTCTAGTCAAATGTTTTTCAGTTTAAAAGTTAAATAAATAAATAAAACTCTTAAAAACTATTGTTAGTTTCCATGTTGGTGAACGATTTAATGGCATTAAAAGTAAATACCACTCAAAACACCAGACATTTGCTGCACAAATAATAAGACATTTGGGAGAATAAAAAATTACTTTCAGAAAAACAATTTTACTTTAATTTTTTAAACTCGAGAATAACATAACCAAAAACTTCACTCAATTATACGCCTATTCTATGAATCAAAATATAATTTAACTGTGAATTCAACGTTAAAAAGGAAAATAAAGACAATTTTTGCTCAAAAAACTCGTTTCTCAAAACCATCTAATATTTAAATGTATTATAAGGTCAGGTATGGAGAGATAATGGCATAAGACTTAATACTAATTACTTAAAAGCAAACTTTTAACCAAATAGGAAGTGAATAGCATTTAAAGGCATTAAAAACTGCTTCAGTGAAAAAATATCATTTTAATTATGACTTAAATATAAAAAACTTCAATTGACAATAAAAACTACGACAACTAAAGGCTTCACTGATTTATTACAGACAATATATACGATATATATAAATATGTTTCCTTTCAAAAGACAGTATAGTTTTCAATTTAAGCCATAAGTTCTGTTCACAAGACTTTTTTATTGTGTTTGCGATACTTTTCTTATTATTATTATTGAAAAAATTTGAAAATTATTTCTTTTCTTCTCCACCACTCAATTGAATGACAATAAAAAAAAGTAGATATACTCTCAAAAGGGGTTTATTTAATCATCAAAAAACATGATAATAATTTCCAGTGAATTGTAACGGAGAAAAAAATTGTTAGTCACAAATCATAATCGCGGAGACTTTTATTGCAATGAATTACTCAATCTATTGTATTAATGATTAATGCATTGTTAAGTAACTGATTATAAACGAGTCAAAAAATATTAGCGACGATATGGAAACACTAATAAATTGCAAAATATATCTCCCAATGAATGTAACAACTATTAGGATATGATAGGCACTAAAAACAAGATAAAAACTCACCTTTTTATTCCTGTTCGATAATATGGCTCCTCTGCCGACCCTAACGTTTTCACCGGCGAAGACAATGCCAGACGGCGGCGGTGTATCTGTACAACCGGTATAGCAATCGTCGTCGCCGTCGTCGGCCTCACCAGTCGTGCCGTTCTGTACGGCTCTCTTGACGGGTGCGGCGCCGAAGGGGACGGGATGTATGGCTAGATTAGACTTGACATCTTTGCCCCGAAAGTCAAAGACCATAGAATTGGCGGACGAGTTGTTGCTCTTCTTCGCGTCTGGCGTCCAGAGGGAACTGTTTGGCTGACTCTTCGTCGAGCCGTTGTTTTCCGTGTTTAACAAATAACTCGGCTTTAATACATCAACCGTTGTCTGTGTGATAGAGTGGTCAGCGATGCGATCGTTGCCAGCGTTTGATTGACTCTTATTATGATTATTATCGACATTAATATCACATGAATTTGGCGAAACATTTTCATCATTAACTATAGACTGCTTGACATCGACTGTACCCTCACTGCCAACTGCTGTCGATATTATTGTTCCGTTCAATTCGTTATCATTTTTATTACTTTTATTATTCTTATTATTAATTACAATATTATTGTCGACGACTTGTCGAGCGTTGTTCGCAATGCCATTCACTGGAGTCGATGCCTCATTATCTGTGACGACAATATCGTGACCCAAATGATGGCATTCACTCTGCAGTGACTGTTGCTCTTCACCTGCGGATTGATTATCATTAGGTCTTTCCATCATTAAGTCACCGTTGGTTTCATTGTTCTCTTGAGTGAAAGGCTTTATATTAGCGATCGGTTTATTGACTCGCGATTTGTTAGTCGAGCCCTCACTCCAGTCTAATGTACTATTTGTGGCGTTTGACTGATTGTTTGGACACACGGTTGACATCTCGTCGGAACCATTTGTGGTGACAGCAACTGAGGTGTCAATGGATGAAGTAGTGGTGCGAACAACACCATCCATCACTTCATCGCTCGATTTCATTTTAACAGACTTTTCAATTATCTTATTGTCTGCAGAGAAATGATTATTATTGAGATGTTTCGCAACTTTATTACAATTATTGGTAGCGTTAGTGCCGTTTGGCTTCATTTGCTTCTGAATGGCCGCAGCGCTCATACCTGTCAATGGATTGGCTTTCAGTGTCAGCGAAGCTCTTTTCGGAGCAATCGGTGGCTTTCGCTGAACACTGGAACCAATGGAACTCGTATTGGAATTAATGGCACTTTTGTTGCTATTGTTGTTCTTGTCGTTATCCGAGGGCTTAGGAATAGTGGACCGATTGGCCGGCATTGGAACCGAAGGTGTCGTATGGATCACTTGAGGTAAAGAAGATACTGAAGACTGCGATGACTGGGATTTAATCGTTGGCGAAGAGTTGACTGGAAGGGTGGAAGAGATGGGTTGCAAAGACTTTTGCTGAACCGATCGATTGGTCGCACGAATCACTGGAGGCTTTCTCTTCACATTCGCAACACTCGAGCCATTCATTTGGCTTTTCTTATAATTATTCTTCAATTTATTACTACTATTCATATGATTAGCACTTATTTTGCCATTAATCTCATCGCCAGTCGTCGTTGTCTTGAGAGATGCGCCGACGGGTTCGAAGATCTTCTTGAATGTCTTGACGGTATCAGGTTTGGGCAGTTCGTCATCGGTGGAGGTCTTAGTGTTGTTAATATTATTATGATTACTGCGATTACCAACACTTTTCATGTCGATTGATTGACTGACGGCTCCTCCGTTGGCAGCGTTTCTCTGACTCTTATGACTCTCTTGACGACTGTTTTGAATCAAAACATTATCATTGAGTATATGTTGTAAATCAGTTTGATTAGTGAGAGGTGTTTCTGTTTTTGGTGATAACAACTGGTGATTAGGAGTGGAGTTCAAGGGTTGGCGACCCCTTTCACTGTCGTCCTGAATAACGCTCAAAGTTTCCATACTTTTGGCTCTCTTGATGGCCGGGACGGCGGCTGAAGAGCGACTGTTGTATAGATTTTTGCTGTTGTGGTGTTGAATATACAGCCGCTGTTGGGATAGTTGTTGGCTTCCGTTCGCTCTGTTTCCTGAATCAGTAACTGATCCGACAGTTTGTGCGCCGTTTTTGCCATTTAAAGGTAAAACCATTTCATTGGCCTTTAATGAAGGCTTTTGGCTGTTGTGGTGGTTGTGGTTCAGGTGCTGGCAATGGTTTGGCAGCGGATAATGAGTCGAATCGTTATTATTAGTCAACGATATGTTTTCTAAACTTGAAAAGCGTTTCAATCGGTTATGAATTGAGTGATTGTTTTGCTGTTGCGTTGAAATTGTCATAAACTTATGCTTCAACTTATGGACAATTCCGGGTCCGTATTGATACTCATACTCGCCCTCATCCCCGCCCTTACCATTGCCTACCGGATGACCATTGCTTTTACCAACCACTTTATGGACCGAATCCATGATCACTTCGTAGTGATGGTTATGTCTTTGAGTGTCAATGTAATCGCTTTTGTCGCGACTTTTATCGCCAATCATTTTCTCTGTAACTGAAACACTGGCGTTGATATCATTGGAAGTGTTGCCACAAACACAACACGGATGGCCGAAGAACGACGACTCACTCACTTGTCGCTGAAGTATTTCGATCTTGCGTTGGGCCACAAGTCCTGGTATTATCTGCTGATCGGCGCACTCGTGAGCGGCGAGTCGGCCGCCAGATGTGCAACACTTGCCGTTTGGTTGAGTATTAATAGTAATACTGTTTGAAATGTTTGGGCAGTCATTGGACGCGAAGTCAGACACAGAAAGAGTGGTCTTCAAGTGCTTTAAGCAGTCGAGACAAGTGTTAACCAAACATCGACTACAGGACCGACCGGTTACTACTGATGAACTAACGGATCGCACAATCGGGACGTTTACACCACCACTGCTGGCGCTGTTGAGGTGAACAGCCTTACACTTCTTGGCATGAAAACCAGATTCCCAATGGATGGGCACGTAGTCTGTCTGGTAGTGGTTGTGGTGGCACTCACTGCTACACAACAGGCAAGACTGGCAACTCTGGCAGCTCTGGCACCAGCTCTCACTCAACGCTCCGTTGACTTCACTCTGTCTGACAAGTGGTTGGAGTGGTGTTGTCGTAGGACTAGTAGAGCTCCCTATACTTGTTTTACCAGATTTTACATCAGATGATACATAACAGGCATCACTCGTCGCCAAAACTTTATTCGTCAAAGAGTTTACAGAGTTTACAAACTTTTCAGATGTTTCGTCAAACTTGCCGTTTGGCACACCATTGGCACCGCTATTGACGATATCGATTAACTTCTCTCTGTTCTTGATTTTCAAATCCCTGATCCAAGGAGGAGGCGGTGAGACTATAGCTGAGGCACCGGCAGTGTAGGCATCCTTTGAATCCCATTTATTTGGTTGCGATTGTCGTTCCCGTTGTTGAGAACTGAGAGTCTGTTTCTGGATATTGAAGTTGTGATGCATTTTGTTTCCACAGGATATCACTTACAGGAATCGGTGTAGAAGTATATATGAATTGCAATCCGAGTTATTATACAAAACAATATAAATGACTAAATATTTTTCATTAAATGTATGCTTAATATTAAGAGGATATCAGAAGGAAATTCTGTGTATAGTCTACGGTTGGGAGCATTTCTTTCCTCTCTTTTGTCGATCATTTGTTATAATATTTTGTTATTTAGACTCCAATTTCCAAACGATATATTATTTAATCCCATATATTATTAATATTTATTATTAACACTATAAGTGGGAAAATAAGCAGTTATTGTTTATGATAACATAAAATCAATCGATGGCTTTTGTAACTATAGATATGAAGCGATAAAAAGCTTTAAATTAAACTTTTATGAGTAGAAGAAAGCATAAAGATTTAAATTAGCATATCTCTAAATCTTAAGATACACTCTTTAGTGGCATTTTTTCTTCAATAAAAACATTTTTCTAATCAAATAGTTTACAAAAATATATTAATATTTTTCACATTTGATAAAAAACAAAACACATTAAGAAATAGGAAGAGAAAAATACACACGAATCAAAACTTTTTCATAACTTTATTGGCATTGACTTTAAGTGTTGAATAGTTGGAGTACTTTAGAGAATTAAAACCATTGAAAAATCACAAACCATTTTACTTATTAAATTGATTGACATTTATATCGCAGTGAAAGTTGTTTCCAATGGGAAGCGATTGAAAGCGAGTGAAAGAGATTAATTGCGAGTACAATAACAATGTAAAAAATAATACTCAATAAATCTTTTGATTTTTGTAATTTAAGTATTGAATTGTAAGTAATGACTGGCAGGTAATGTAATACACGATGTGTTTGAAGTCGGAAAATAAATACAGTCACTAATCGATGGGTCTGAGAGCTGATGCCACACAACAGCCAACTGCCAAACAGGCAAACAAAGCTGACTAAACAGTTTCTCTCACAGAAAACAAATCCTTAATAATGAATGAATGATACGAAAAGACAGACTCATTCGCCAAATGCAATGGACTCTCGAGAGAGTTATACAATACGATAACTATTATAATAATACTAATGCCAAATATTTTGGTTGGTTATGCGAGAGAGCACTGGCTCTTAACAGCCCATCTGTTGTATGTTTTCCATCTATTGTTCCCGTAGTCTATAGTCTACCTGTGTTTGCAATAAGCGGGTGAGGCGTTGGTTTAAAAGCCATTCCTACCTGTGCTTCGAGAGGCACCCAATCCTGCCGTCCCGTCATTCCCTCCAATGTGTTAACCTTTCAACCATAGCTTCCTTACCGAAAGGCAACACATATTTTGTGTGTTTTTTAGTGACAATAATATGCCATTTCATGTCAAATATTCCTTCACATAATAATAGGACTGCTTTTTGTTGTGTTGTTTGATGTATTCATTACAAGCAAACGAATGGATCTTTTAATTAAAACAAAAGTTCGTATCCTTTGGCTCATCGATGCGTTTGAAATCAATCGACGGCACAAATGACAATATATGAGGCAAACTGTTTGACAATTAGCTAAATATTATGCGTTCCCTAATGTTGTTGCCTTTGGGGCCAAAAATATATTAAAATTCAATTATAAGCACACAATTATTGCAAACTTTCCATCACTTCTCACAATTAGTTTAGTATTTTTAATGTTTGTTTCGATCCAATGATTAATTTAATTTGTTTTAACAAATGATACGAAACAATATTTCTTCTTTTATATACTGTTAATTGAGTAGATTATCAACAGATATAACTGGGAATATGTTTCGTGTGATAAGAAGTTTCGCATCTCATTGTAAATATAAGTGTAGTTAAGATTTTTGGGAAACATTATCAGTGAAATGTATTGACAACTCAAATGTTATTACAAGTTAATAAACTTTAATTAACTCTTTGGTTATTTTGTTTTCTCAAAAAATACACTATAATTAAAATTATTGTAATAATTAGTAACTAATTTAAAACTAATTTTCATAAATCATTTGAATTAGATATAAATTTAACATAAAATTTACAAATAAAACATTTTGTTTGAAATGTATTTATTGTTCATAAAACACAGAAATGCTATTATCATCAAAACGTAGTCTTTTATTACATATGAATTCAATTTAAAAGTCTAATCACGAGTGATGTCAACGATATTTTTGGAGACATTAATAATCTTATTGTTAAATACAATGTCAAAGACGACATGTTCTGCTAATACATGTATATTAAATATATTGCAAATTTTGTATAATAAAACCAGAGAAAACATAGATTTAATTTATTTGCGACAAATAAGGGAATAATTAATGAAATAAATTCAAAGTACTGTAAAGGAAGTGTTAGTACTGTTTGGTAGTATTGCGACAACACATAGACTGATATCAATTTGATTTTATAATTACAGCAATAAATTAAATAAATAAGATCTTCATTGAAATATTATGCTATTATTAATAGCCTATTAATAATCGTATAAAGTATTTGATAATATATTTTATTATAAAGTTGCGAAAAATATATTCAAATTTAAATTATCTTTAAATATCTATCATTTGAAAAGTTGTTTTTACGACATTCGGTATAACTTAATGAAGTATAGCATTAAAAGTTTGGGTAATAATTATTTGAGTATTCAAAACATAAAATCGTATTTTAATTACTTATTACGAAATAGTAGTTACAGTAAAGAAGTGTTGCCAACGATTAATGAACTAATGGAGTGAATATGACTTATAGTTAATATGAAAACAATTAATTTCAAACTCAATTAAAAGTAATAAATATTGTAATGGGTTTTACATTTTGCTATTGAAATTATAAAACACAACGAAAGGCTAACGATTTGTGTAAAATTGCATTCAATCAAACAAAAACAAATAAAACAATTTAATTGTTAACTAATATTCGCAATTTAATTGCACTGAAATTTACGCTCGACTCCAGAATATAACTTTTATAACACGTTTTGAGTTTAAGTGTAGAAAAAACAAACAAATCTTATAATAAATTCAATGAAAGGGTTGAATGTTCTCCACTTTTTACACATTTATATAACTGATTATGAATTCATGAGGAAATTCTTTATTCAAACTCGAGTGACATTTATGCTATTGATAGGAGCTGTTGATAGCAATAAATTATTGCCAATAATACATCGATAACTACTATATGTAAACTTTATACCTTATTATACCGTATTAAAAAATTTAAAACTTAATGATATCTGTCTATAGCGTTGGTAATCAATGAATATATTTACTCATTATATACATGCAATTGATAGTAAATCTAATAATAAAACATTTCCTTTTATTATTTTATTTTTATATAATATTTATATCTGAAGTTCAAATCCTATTGAGAGAGAGAGAGAGAGAGAGAGAGAGAGAGAGAGAATGTCAGAGAGCTATACTCTAAACGTTATGTCAATATGTAATTATAAATCAATCTGTTTTGCTGTTTAGGCGTCAAAAATTTTGTCATTGCCAACAAAACGCTCCCGGGTACAAAATAAGTTTATTTACAAATGTAATTTTAATTATAACACTTTTGGCTTTTTCTATGTACAACAAAAATCTATTTTAGAAATTATTATCCCGAACAATTTAACATTTTAAAATTCTAACTAGCATTGTTTAATATTAAAATATATGCTATATTTTAATGTTAAATATTAAATAAATACCCACATCATATATGATTATTAAACTTATATATTGTTAAAGATAAACTAATCAATCTTGTTAAACTAACTAACAAACTGTAAATATAATGATTATGTTTATTAATAATTTGCCACCAGTTTATTATATTAATATTTTGGAACTTAATGCAACAATTATAATGTGAATACTAGTTTAAATTAAATTTGTAAATTTTTAAATTACAATTTAACATGATAAAATAAGCCGTATTATGTCAATAATACTAATAATACTTTAATCTATGTTAATTAAAAGTAATTTTTTGTAATACTTGTAAAATAAATACAGTTATTGTATATTAATAAGCGATTCGTTGTCTACTTGTTATCTATAATAAATTTACTACAAAACTCACATTATATAGTCCACAAATTTATTATAAACCTTATCTATGATAATCATATATAATAATAACATTAAGTTTAAATATTAAACAGTAAAGTCTCTGTTTATGTAATGTATGCGCATTTATAGGACACAAAATTAAACACATCTTAAAGTTTTATCTCAAAAATTTTTTATAGAAAATAAATTGAGAATTTTATTATTATTTCACATTTATATTATAACGCCGTAACTCTCTCTCTCTCTCTCTCTCTCACACACTATCTCTCACTCACTTTTCACTGTCCCTCTCACTCACACTCGCACTTACTCTCTCATTATATAACTCGTTGGCAAT